GTTCCAAGGAGAGCAGACGTGAGGTAATTAAGGAGTCTGATGGCACACTGATTCAAATTCAGGAATGTCGTCTTGCACGTTGGGCAGAACATTTTAAGGCACAGTTCAGCTAGTCCTTTTCGACACAAGACATCTCCCGACCAGGGTTCAGTTGACACCAGTCTTCCATCTGAAATAAAGGTTTGCGGGAAATAAGTTACCTCAAACGGCCTAAGGCTTCCGACCCCAACGGGCTGTACCCATCGGTTTTTATGGATGGAGATCCAGCCTTGGTTTGGGAGTTAACGAAACTCTTGTATTCATTGTGGGAGAGAGAAAAGGTTCCAACTGAATGGTGTCAATTGGTCATCATACCGATTTACAGGGAAGGTGACAGATTCTCCTGTGAAAACCACAGAGGAATTAGTTTAATCAACGTTGTATCTAAACTTCTCGCATGAATCAATCTCCGTCCATGGTCTGCCGCACGTGAACGGTATACGCCTGAGAACCACGCTGGTTTCAGACCTGATCGAGGCTGTATTGACCACATCTTCACACTTCGTCAAATTCTAGAACATAGACACTCCCTTCGCAGACCCATCCTCTCTGTTTTTCTCCATTTGAAAGCGGCTTTCGACTCAGTCGGCCGCTCTAAACTCTGGCGCTGCCTTTCCCTGAAGGAAGTGCCCGAGACGTTATTTGCAATTTTACAGTCGCTTTATACTAATAGCGGAAGCCGAGTCCGAGCTTACGCACTTTTACGCCCAAATTCACCACGGAAAGTGGTGTTTGACAGGTTTGGCCTCTCTCTCAGTTTCTATTTAACTTCGTGATAGATTCAATTGTTGAAACGGCGCTATTCTCGTGCGAGGACAGCGGTATCGATTTACCTCCAGGTGGAAGACTGTTTGATCTAGAGTATGCAGACAACATTGTGCTATTAAGTGAAGATCTACGTAAGTTGCAAGCTTTTCTGGATAATTTGTGCTAGGGTGTCCATGTTCGGCATGCGTTTTGCACCTGCAAACTGCAAAATGTTACTACAAGATTGAGTTGGGTCAGTACCCAGTCTCACCCTAAATGGGGAAGTAGTAGAGGAAGTAGACAAATTTTGTTACATGAGCAGCTATATTTCACCTAGCGGATGCATCACTGATGAAGTGTCGGCGCACATTCAAAAGGTTCGTTTGGCAACAGACAACTTGAGACATTTGTGGCGCCGTCGCGACGCTCGACTGTCTGTGAAGGGTCGAGTGTATGCTGTAACAGTTCGGCCAATCCTCCTCTACGGTACAGAGACTTGGCCTTTACGGGAACAGGATGAAAATAGAGTTTCGGTGTTCGAACACCGCTGTCTACGTCGCATCGCACGAGTCTGCTGGGGAAACCGGACGAGCAATGCTGAAGTTAAACGTAGAGTTTTAGGTAGTCGCGGTCGTCCACTGGAGCAAGTGATCGACCTGCATAGATTACGCTGGTTGGGGTATGTGTTACGCGTGTCACCAGATAGGTTGCCAGGCGAGCGATGTTTGTCGAGGCGGGGAGCTGTTGAAAAAGGTCAAGGGCGGTCAAACAAAGACCTGATATGAGGGTATGAAAACCCTAACCAGGAGATGGGCCACATAGGTCGCGTTCAGCTCCCTGGCTGGGGACCTCGGAGTGATGGTCACCGATGGTTAGAGACACTGAGTGATATGGCTGGGTGTCGCAAGCAGTGGCGCTCATGCATCTACTTATTATTCCCCTAACCTCATTCTATGTGAATTCCCTATCTTCCGCTTGAACTGGCTTTCACCATTTCCATCTTCATCCTCTTGTATTCGAATGGGCGGTCATTCTACTCTTTTATCCAATGGGGCACCAAAAGACAGCAACAAAAACCGGCGCACGAAAGTGCATGGTTAATGGAATTTAGTGACGTTGTGGCTTTACGACGTTCACCAGTGACTAACATTCACAGACATGGCATTTCGATAGGCTGTACCTAGTTTACTAACAAAGCTGTGTACTTCCATTTGATACTGTACATTAATTTCCGATGCTATCCCGCTGCGCACCTGATGTTTTTAAATGTTGTGTCCTTTCATTCAACACAGTATGAAACAATTTTCAGGAAAAGAGAATAGGTCGAACAAGGAGTTTATACAACATAAACAATGGCGAAAATCAGGCGCTGGGAGTTAAACCATCTTTCGGAGGAATAATCTGGTTAAATTTATCGCGAAATCGCTAGGAGTCTGTATTTTGTATGTGTACATTGTTTCCTCTTGACAACACAACACGATCGCCGTCAGCAAGAAAGACCGTGATACATCTGCTTCTCCGTGTGTTTGATAGTTCAGTAATTTCACGCTCGAGCTGATTGTCGTTTCAGTCTGGTAAGGTCATAAGTGTAAGAAAATTTGATGTCGGACTAATGATAAACCGGAGGTGCTGGGAACACAAATCTCGCCTTCTGTTATGAGCCCTAAAGCTGGGGGCGTTCGCGGCTTCGTAACACAACTGGCTATTTTAATCCGGATTGAGACGATATTGTGGTGTGCCACAGTGTTGATTTCATGTTAGAAAAGTGAGTAGAAACCCTCGGATAAATAAAGATAAAGGCGAAAAGATGGATGTCGTAGTGGATTCAATCTTTAGTTTCAAAATGAAAAAATTCCATGACTCAGTTGTTTAATTATGTCATGTACAGCATAAATGAAGTGTGAACTGAAATGCTAGTAAACGCTGAACAGCCGGTTATAAGCTAACTGGATATCATGAACAGTGCGGGTTCTAACCTAACTGGGGATAGGACCCGGAACATCAAAGGTAGAACAAAAGCATACTACGACGAAGCGTCTTAAAGAGCCTCTGCGGAGGAGGCCCTATCCACTGCCTTCTCGCGGCGGTGTTTCCAGCAAAGCGAGAGGACGAACAGCCGAAATCTGGGGCTATAACCGGGTTGGCGGACCACTGGTAGTTCACCTAGGGGAGTTGGTCAAAAACCCTGATTCCAAACCAACCAAGAGGAGGCGTACGAACAACGCGTACCTTTAATGTCGTGATACTGGCCACCAGCTCTATTGGACATGGAGGTGTATTGGGCACCTTGAACGTTTGACCTCGTCCAAAGGGCGTGTGATCCGATTAACTGGACACCGGCTCCCAATGGATGGCGGCTTTCGCACACCGCCCCGTTACCTTGCAGGTCAGACTTTGGCTAGCCGAAGGATCCGGTTGTGGATTCCTCAAGAAAATTCACCTGCCTTGATCTGGGCAACCTGGCAGTATTCAGCACACATGCAAATCATGGAACAGTCTGGCGTCAGACAGGTGTGGAATATATATTCACTACGTTAGTGCAGAGCAGTGAAATTCGACCGCACTGGAGATTCGAGAATGGAGAATTTCCCGGCTGGTCTATTGCTAGAAAACTCTCCGCCGATACCTAATGAGTGAGCATGTCTAAGCCAAAGATAAAATAAAAAAGGTGTGGAATCGAACACGCAACTATGCATATTTATGTATGGAGAAGTAGTAGTAGTGGTAGTCAAGACCGTTGTCAATACGGCCACAAAAATTAGGACTAAAGTTGCAGACCGAATCCGCTGTGTGTGTAAGGTACCTAAAACAAAGTGAAACCAGCACACTTTGACACATTACAATAACCGACGAAACTGAACCCCGGTGGGCTGTCTGCATGAGACAGAGAAAATAAGTGAACACAGACGAGGAGAGAGAATAGCAATGGATATGAGTTAGTCCATGTGTGAGGCAGGAACCAAAATGAAACTGATAAGCGATGAACCGGTAGTAAAGAAAAATGAACGAGAAAAGCTGCGATAACAAAACTCAGCCAACAAGTCAATAATATAAAATCCGATTTGCAGAGTCTCGCATTCACGAATAAACCTCGTGTTTGTGTTTGTCAACGGAAGGGGGAATGAAGGGATATACAGACGCATGTTATGTATTTGTGTATTCATGGTATAGCTCATAATTAGGAATGAATGACTGCAAATCAAATGGTCTCCTCTCGACCTGTCAGAACAACGGGAGACAAAAGGCTATCCTCGGGGGGACGAACGAGAACAGTGATGAGTTTACTCAAACCCAACTGTTCAGTTTCCCGTCATCGATCTGGCCTTCGATGTGATTAACGGCGATGGGTTTGGGGAGTAGCGATTTGAGGTGAAGAACCAATAGACAAGAGGACAAATAAGACTGTGGTCGTGACTGAAGGTCCGTGTGCGATTCAAAACAGAGCTGCACGAAAACCATGGAAGTGCACACCCACACCCACACACACACGAGTGAGCAAGCGCCAAAGCAGGTTTAAGAAGGCAACCGAATCTCCGGCGAAGACATGAAACGTAACGAAGGTGGAGCAGATGATCGGAGGAGGAGCATCCAACCACCCCAGCTCGGAGACAGACGTGAACGGTGGAGATGCAAGAGCCCGAAGAGAGAAAAAATAAATGCATCGTACCCCCCGAAACAGACATAAAGTGTGCACGAGTAAGTAACGTGAAAATATCTTTTATATATATATACAGAGATATATCGAGAAACAGAAAATAATCGAGAACGCTTAATGAGCAACAGACAGTAAAAGACCGAGTTTGTGGTGACAGGCAGACAGATAGACAAAACGAACTTTGACAATGTCTATGGAGCGAGTTGGACCGAAGCTTGGATGATCAGGGTTACACAGTCGAATAGGTAGTGAAAAAGTGTGCCAGTGAGTGCAAAGGAGGGTGGCGCATAAGGTATACCCAGATAGTGAGATGTTGGTGTTGATCAGATAGATGCATATTTGAAGTATGCGCACATGCTTGAGTAACAATAGATGGAGAGAAACAAACAAGTAGCGAAAGGAGGAAGAACGGGAAAGAAAAGTGACACACTGAGCTAGATGCATGTTACAACAAAAATTCAGGTGAATGAAGTCACCTAAGGCTGATCAATGGGTGGCATGAGGTCCGCGAGTCGAGGCAAACGTACAAACACAAAAATGCATCCGGGTGAACTGTTTGTCAGACAAATACTTTGGCCAAAGCATCTGCTCCGGCACTAGCCATATAGTGTTTAGTCGGATGAAACGCTACGGCATTGATGGCTTCGCCAAACTTTTTCCGATGACTGGTGATCTCTTGAATGCAAGTCTTCTTATTGATATTCCACAATCGGATAGAGCAGTCATGACCTAGATCAAATAGGCACATACGGGAGACGGGATCAAATAGGAGAAGGGGAAATTAGATAGAGATGAACAATACTGAGTAATGATTTAGGGGATGCATGAGTTTCTGTCAAATAAACACGAGGTCTGATACCACCACATCAATCATTGTGTGGTGTTAGTGACGGTAAGGATCAAGTGGTCAGATCGTCATGGTTCTCGTGAGCCGATACCTAAGGATTGAGGTTCAGAACCCGACCACCAAGGTGGTCTTAAGCCCTGACTTTACAGACCGAATATAAGCATAGGCGTTCAACTTCATCAAGCTTGCTAATGTTTGGGTTGTAAACCGGAATATACATGAAAGAATCACAGCAATGCACCAAGGAATAGCATCCACGGCACCATCAGCTCTTTTTCTTCGAGGACGTGCAAATAGCATTCGCACAACCGAATGTGTATTTTCACAGAAACGCAAATAAACGTCACGAGAACGGTAAAATTCGTTCAGTCTATTTGACAAACTGTTTACTGACACATGGATGCTGAATGCAGTAGAACAGCTAGCTACAATGATATTTGAACTCTGAATAATTGTAAAAAAACATTAGGCGAATGGATGCTAACGAGATACGATATTTCTCCAAAACAATGTGCTACTTTGCCCGATCTATATGAGTTTTAGTTTCAGTTTTCATAACCGATAACCATGCACTTTTGTGTGCCCGTCTTGGTTACTGTCCTTTGACCGCCCATTTGAATACAAGAGGATGAAGATGGAAATGGTGAAAGCCAGTTCAAGCGGAAGATAGGGAATTCACATAGAATGAGGTTAGGGGAATAATAAGTAGATGCATGAGCGCGACTGCTTGCGACACCCAGCCATATCACTCAGTGTCTCTAACCATCGGTGACCATCACTCCGAGGTCCCCAGCCAGGGAGCTGAACGCGACCTATGTGGCCCATCTCCTGGTTAGGGTTTTCATACCCTCATATCAGGTCTTTGTTTGACCGCCCTTGACCTTTTTCAACAGCTCCCCGCCTCGACAAACATCGCTCGCCTGGCAACCTATCTGGTGACACGCGTAACACATACCCCAACCAGCGTAATCTATGCAGGTCGATCACTTGCTCCAGTGGACGACCGCGATTACCTAAAACTCTACGTTTAACTTCAGCATTGCTCGTCCGGTTTCCCCAGCAGACTCGTGCGATGCGACGTAGACAGCGGTGTTCGAACACCGAAACTCTATTTTCATCCTGTTCCCGTAAAGGCCAAGTCTCTGTACCGTAGAGGAGGATTGGCCGAACTGCTGCAGCAACTCTGTATTAGTGGAAAACATTGAACAGAGCTTCGCGAGACTATTCGTTCTATTTCATTAACCGTACCAAAAAACTGATACCGAACCGTCATCGACCTCACGGACAAAAGTATACATTTTAAACTTGCGAGGTTAAACTAGTCCGTGCATGCCATTTAATTCGCATTATTAGCAGTTCGATCGACTTTGCGATCGCAATGGATTGCATTCACCGCAGAAACTATAGGAAGGTTAACAGCAAATATTGTACTAAGCAGAAATAGGGCATAACCCGCACAGCGTCGGCGTCCATCCAAACGAAGTGATTTTCCGGTGAGGAACTTCATTCACTCCGTCGAAACTCCATACAGATCAAAAAATGCTAACGGTGTGTTTTAACCCCCTCCCCCCTCTTCTTGTTCTCCCCACTCTCTCATTGTCCTGATCAAGCTACATCTGTTGCCTGCATCGATCAGTAATTTTGGAAAGAATTTGCGGATCAATCGATAGAACCGGCCCGTTGATAAGTTCAATTATAATCAATTTCTATATGAGATTTAGAACAAAGGATTGATGATAAAAAGATGCTCCTGCCGGGTGGAACAGATTTTGATTATACTCGTTGCGACGAGGGGGGATACCATCGTGATAACAAAGGAGGAATGAGGACTAGGTATACCATCACCGAGGTAAGCGAGTAGCGATGCTTAGCACAAGAAACAGACGGAGTGCAACAGCGGCTCATAAAGTAATCTGAATTCTGAGGATACCAACAAACGGATACGGTTCCAGATGGAATTTATGGCATACTGAACCTACATAGACAGTGATATTATACCGGTTCTGGTGCGACAGAACAAACACAGGAGGATAAAAAAACTTCGTTCAACTTGAACAGAAAATTTCTATGGATTGGTTACGTACTTGCCGACAGCAGATAAGCACCTTGTGGGTCTATGGCCAGAGCAGTAACCGCGTCCAAATGGGCCACCATGCTATGTACACATTTACCACTGTTCGTGTCATAGAATCGGATCTGACTGTCCTCGTGTGCGCTAATCACCAACGGATGATATGGATGTGAAACCAGGCAGGTCAAGGAACTCGGATGAGTAGTCATGGGGGATCGGGTCGGATAAGCCTCTGCTGTGGTTGTGGGCGAAGATGTGATTGCATCTGTGTACGATTATGAGGAGGGGTTAAACAAGAAACAATATTAAAGGGTTCTACAGAACACAAATGTAGAAAATCACGCAGAAAGGTTAGTTGCCATGAGATTCAGTTTCAGTTTTCACAACCAATAACCATGCACTTTTGTGTGCCCGTCTTGGTTACTGTCCTTTGACCGCCCATTTGAATACAAGAGGATGAAGATGGAAATGGTGAAAGCCAGTTCAAGCGGAAGATAGGGAATTCACATAGAATGAGGTTAGGGGAATAATGAGTAGATGCATGAGCGCCACTGCTTGCGACACCCAGCCATATCACTCAGTGTCTCTAACCATCGGTGACCATCATTCCGAGGCCCCCAGCCAGGGTTTTCATACCCTCATGCCAGGTCTTTGTTTGACCACCCTTGACCTTTTTCGTAGACAGTCGGATGTTGCGACGGCGTCACAAATGTCTCAAGTTATCTGATGCTAAATGAGCCTCTTGTATGTACGCCCGCAGCTCATCTGTGATGCGTCCGCCAGGTGAGATATAGCTCCCTAGATAACAAAGTTTCTATCGGGCAACCTATATTTCAAATGGGAGACTGATGTCAACTGGGAGTATGTGCCCAGTTGAAGCGGGTATAAGGAGGTGGTGTCGCCGCGGGCCAACTGAACTGTCTTAAAATGTTCTACCAAAGTTTAAAGACGGTTCTGCTAAATGTGAATCCGTGTGCCGTCAAACTCCTTAATCACCTCACTTACACCTACTTTTCTTGGACCTGTATTCACAATCAAAGGAAAAAGGTTGTGACTATTACCGAAAGGCGCAGCCTTCTCCATTTCTCTACACTTCCCTACCCACCACTTCTTGCGGGCATTCCTCAGACTCTTGATTAGCTGGAGTTTAAGGGATTTGCGCGCTTTGTCGTATTTCGGATCCGAGGGAGTGGCTTTGCGAGCGTCCAGCAAGACAACCGAGGTCGGGGAGATCCATCGTGACATGAGATGGATCAGTAATACATACAACAGTCACGTTTTAACCGATGGCGCATGTGTATGCGAACCTCTCTCTCCAGTCTGGCACAGTGAAACAATCAAGACTGGCTCATCATCATGTATGCGCATGCTACCGGTACAATTAGACTTGCTTCCCATCGTGTTGCTGTTTCCTATCGATTCATGTAATTAACTGGTCATTCAAACACAGATGAATCATTTCAGCTGGCTGCTCCGCTGGTTATACATAATTCCATCAGCCAATCCATGCTTCAGATTCCCAATCAACCGAGGACAGCCACAGACAGACAAGTGTGGGATGAGCTATAACTACGTCACTAGGTATCGACCAAAATACGGGGCACAAAAATACGCACGTTCTGTTTTGAACGTGTGATGCAGACAAAACCCACGCTACGGATAAACACTAAAAGGAACGCAGTGAACGATCGTGAATCATCATTGAACTGTCTTTTCTACGCTTTTCCTCTCCACCCAATCACTCTATTAGCAATAGACCACTAGCACAGTTCGGAGACGTCCAGAAGTATGCGAGAGGGTTGGGTGTTGAATAAAAGTGTTCACAGGAGCGTGAGATAGGATCGGTTGCCTTGCGATTAGGAGGGATCTGTGTAGCCAACCCTCAGCCCGGATAGTTCGTTTACCGTTTTCAGTATAATTCCTTTGGAACAACTGAAAAATATGGAGGCGAACTCTCATGCCTACCTCGAACCCATCAATCAGAGCATTATTGGCCAATCAAGGATTAAGGCCACGTGGCTAGGTCCCATCCTACAAATCATTACACGATTATAAACAAAACCAAAAACCTTGTTTAACTGTTGATTGATTCTAAACAGGTGTGCTTGTGTGTTCGACAGAGGATGTGGCCAGGCGGTTGGTCTGGAAGCGAGTTGTGCACCAACTTTCGTTTCGAAACTATTGTGACTTTGTCGTCCGTCACCACACAGGCAGAGCGGGCTTTCATCCCGCCAGCCTTTTAAACTCTATAGCACGAGCCGAGATGTTGATGATCGAGGCTGGCTATGAACAGAGAGAGGGTAACGCACTGAGTCGGTCGGTCGTTAAGCCACGCGGGAGAAAGTCGCACATATGTGTTTGTAGATCAACAGAACAAAACATTATTACACTAACAGAAACACGTTTTGTCAAAGCTAATAATACGAAAACATAACACAACGACTGTGACGATCTGTCCGTTGGATTTAGTTGTTGTTTCACGTCATCTAGCAGAGAACAACCAACCGCTTGCTCGGTTCTAATTGGTATGATGCTGTTGTCGAAATCAAACTCAGTGTATTCGTAACAAGACTAGACTACCCGATTCCTGTGTATCCTCGTGTATAAACGAAAAAATGATGCGGATATTCAGGTTGTGCGCAAAGTGCTTGCGCTAGTCTGTACATCGCTTTGTCCATGGGTGCGACGAAGTGATTAAAAATGTCAGTATATTCGGGCATCATTCAACAACATCCTCTTGCACCGGCACTCAAGTGTTGAGATAACAAATGAAACGCGCGGCTAACTGATGACAACAGTGTTCATATGACGCCAGCATCAGTTTTTAGAACACCAATTCCGGAATGGACGTGCATGGCGCTTTCAATTGACGGAATCACGTGCAGTTAAGTGGAGCTAAAAGCGCAACCAAATCTGTCGGAATCGAACGCGAGAAATGCTGCCGAATTCACATATCAAGCAGCACATAAGCGAATTTCTATAGCGGAATGTAAGGACAGACAAGGTAAACAACTGTGAAAGTTATAGTCTCTGTGTGGAGAGAGAACTTAGGGAACAACGAGAGTACTTCAAACGCATAGGAAATATTGTTAGCCACAAAAGAGGTCAGTGTGTGTATTATTCAAGAAGAAGGAAATACGATTAGGAACTGATCCTTTTACACAGAGATATGTGTTAGACGAGAATCTGTGTAGTTTTTGTGCCGAACAATACAAAAGTAAGAGAGCGGCATTTTGTTATTCCTGAAGCATTCTCTTTACTAAAGGATCCACGAAATCAATCAGCCTAGTGTCTATCGATTTTCATTTGGAGCATTTTGAGACATGAAACAGCCAATTGATACCAACAAAAGTGATCAAAATAAATGATCGATGGTTTTGCTTGTCATGTCTCCACGGTGAAACTACACGAAGGTGGACAACGCAAAGATGTGAGACTGAACTGGTTTTGTATTCTGACAAGTACTACTGAATTTTTCGCTAGTAGCATTATGCGGAATAGCGTTTTGTGGGGTAAGAGAAGCCGCAATGAGACACAACAAAAAAACATTAAACGCCGACCATGTAAACACAGAACTACATCAATTAGATTGCCTTAATTGGTTAGACAACATCAGGTGCGGATTAAAACACCTGGCTTAAGGCTTTCTATTATCAGTGATGAAAACAGCGACAAGATAGGCACATTGTAAATTGGAGTTGATATGAAGCCAGTTGCCTCGAAGTGTGAGTTGGACAGCTTGTTAAGAACAGGTGGTATGGTGAATGAAGGAGTCTTTTTCCGAGTTGAACACGTGTGCACTGCATTGATATTTTTACATAAGCGGTTGGTAAGATTGTATCATTAGAGTAATCCAGACTAATACTGAGGTAACAAATCACCGTAGTTTACATACCAGTGTTTAAACCTAAGTATTAGCCATTTCGAAAAGGTATAGAAGTAATCGCGCGGATATACATACACGGCAATTCTGGGGTATAAAAAAACATATGCTACACTAACGCCTATGTTCTCCCTTTTCTAATTCAAACTGAAACTTTATAGATCATAGGTAGCTTGCTCCGATGAGTCGAGTAGAAAGTTTTGGCTCTCGATCCCCTGAAAGAGGTTTATTAGCTAGCTTCACGATACTCCCCTTGCTCACGAGGGTTCTTAGCTCGATAGTGTCTGGTATCTTGGAGGCGTGAAGGACAAGGATGCAAGATCTGTTCCATAGGACACCAGTGACGAATCAATCAGCCACGGTCTCCCGCGCTTAACCTCGGTCCAGTAGACCAAGTTTGGCCCTCGGAGACTTGATTCTAAATTCATAAAAAATCACCTGCTTGTATCGATCTGGGCAAACGCAACGAGGTAAACAAAGCGCAGTTAGATTTGACTACGACCACTTAGGCACATGGTATAGAAACAGGTTGAAATGAAATAAATTATTCGGTTTCGGAATATTTCAATACCACGTCAAGCCTGACGAATGAGGAGGATGAATTTAGCAGCAGACGGTAACACCAAGTGCACGAATCCTCAGAAACACATTTGAATGCTTTACTCTAGAGGACATAGGGTGGGAACATTGTCACATCGTTCGACGCACGGTGTGTAATGCAAAGTGCTGTGACGTTCGTTGAGGTCAACAGGGATTCGGCGGTAGTCAAACTGTGATCTGATGTGAAGCGATTAAGCCCTCACTTCGCGTGCTTATTCAATAGTATCGTTCTAGACTAGACCTCCGAGTCCGCCCAATCATTGGTTAGCGACTGCGGCGCACGATAATGCATGGTTAATGGTTGTACAAACTGATTGCATTCGATGGTGGTATTGTATTTGTTTATGTTCACAGGTGTCTGGTTCATCAAAATCCCATTTTTTATTAAGATAATACATTCAGATTCGCGTTCAACATCATGTTCTTCATCATTGATCGATATTATGCGTAGTCGAAGGAAAATCAAGAAAACAGAAGTGTAGAATTTAGGGCTACATGAACTGAAACTAAAGGTAAATAAGATTCGAACCAATTAATACACGAAATTACTCGAATATGTAGACTGAATACCTAAATAAAACTATGCGTGCGGCAAGAAAGACAACGTGAATACAACTCACGTAGTATTACAGTTAATGTAAAAAGTGAGTAGTGGTCGTGCATGGTCAAGTTATTCCATTTTATACAGTTTGGAATGAGCTACTGATGATGAAGGTCAGTTCAATTCTCTGGAATTTATTTTGTCCAACTGGCGTTTATTTGTATTATTCCGACTAACCACCTCACTGACTGCAAACAACACTCATAACGCACATTTTCCCATTTGGTCGATGTGCGTAAAAGACATCCACCAATCTGTAGTTAAACCAGATTTTTCCATAGAATATAAATTTGAAAGAGTGGTTTGTGTGTGCGTGTGAGAGAGAGCGCAGACTTTGAGATGAGGTGCAATTGCGTCCTTACTAAGTACACATTCAGAGGAGCTAGGAAAACGTGGATGGATCTCTGTAATTGGACACATATGGTATGTGAATAAAGCATCTATAGACTCAAGTGCGAACAATCTAGCTTTCTTGAGTAAACACTTGATAAGAGAACGCCATATCTAATTCATTTACGTTGAAAACTGCTACAAAAAGATTGCTATACCGGTTGCTAGGTAGGTCTTAATCTTCGAAATTGGGTAGCTTGCTACTAATAAGGTAGACTAACACTGTACATGTGACCATATATGGAAAAATGATGGTGAAACACTGTGATGTAGGGGTTGACGCTGCAATTATGCGAACGAAATTACAAATGAGCAGGTCTGTGAAGCGAAAGCTGATTACACTACTTTTTTCAATTTCAGTAGCTGTAAAATGAATAGCGATAAAAACAACGGCCACAGTGGGTAGCGACACGACTCCAACGAGAAGCAGTGGGAAACAATGGACGACCTCCGGTATTCATAAATAGTCAAGTTCTTATTTTTGATCTCTTTAAATGTGTCAATTGTTCTCTCAGTCACAAAAACTCATACAACATAGCCTCTCCGTCGAACTTTATCTTACTCTCTTTTTGTGACAAGAAGCAAAGTTATCGACGTACGTTTGTTGGACAATGCCTACCACAAAGTTGAAAGAGAAAAACACTCCTCAGCGGCATGACCTCCAGTGGTGTTCCATTAGCAACATTTAGATCAGTGGGCAATCATTCACCGAATCGATAGAAATTTTCATAATTATCTTTGCCAACATCCTTCACACAAAGGTGTACTATGTGCTGATGTGCTGATCCGTTTTCCATGTTGCTAATCGAATCTTCATTTATTATTAGATATACCAATTACAGTTTTGGTTGACCATGGTCAAGCTAATCATCTCGAGCAGTTCTGCAAGCAAATAAACACAAATATGTAGTTTGATCTACATATGGGTATGACAGAATGAAGATCCCCACAGAATCATTATGTTGTAGAATAAAACGGAAACGAAAGAGAAAAAGCAAATTGTATTCTCTGTACCTCGAGCCAGTTGTCGTCCCGTTTGGCACCTTCCTAGAATGAATCATGCCCCAAAGCGTATCCTGTTATCTTTCTCGACCCATACATTACAGAATTTTACCTTTTTCACAGATCGCTCAATTTTCTTTCGATATATATATACCATCACGGTGCACATTCCAAAGACCCACTCGGGATTCAGTGTATGAACGTAAAGGGTAGATAATTGGACGCATTAACCAATTGGCTTATCCGAAAGGAACCAAACCAGTTTGCCCTATGTCAGTATTGCATGACAAAGCGACGCTCTTCGGTTACTGTTGCTGAACTCTCCTGACAAGCCGTGCATCTGGGATGCGATCGCTATATGGTGAATCCCACTCGGTGGCAAATCAGGAGGTAGTAGTCATATTGCGTGTACATGGCTAACTGTGTCACTGAAGTATGGACAAACTAGTCAGTTGAGAGATACTCACCAACTTTTGTGGGTGGTGGTGAATGGAAGGTTGTAATCAGTTGACTGGTTTCTAAATCGAACAATCCAATGTGTCCGGACGTGAACCCCGTGATGAATCGATTTCGATCAGTCGGAGAGAATCTGATAGATGTCGGTACAGGAGCTCGAGAGCCTAACTCGACAGATCGTGTCATCAGGGCAGCCATCATGCTGGTGGTAAGTTGATACACTTTAGACGCGGTAATTGACTTCCCGGGTGAATGGGTTACATCGGCCAGGTGTGTCGTGGACCAGAAACACGCTGTTCCATCGGAAGAGGCTGATAACAGGTTCCCGTCAGGCTAGGGAATAAACAGAAGGAGAGAGACGTAAGCCAAGATGAATAGAGAAAGTTCCACGTAAGCTGTGACGGATTTATTAAGGCAGGTACGAAAAACAGTAACTTGGCACAAGATGGACAGATTATTGGTTTGGTTTATTTAATAACTGAGAAAGGGTTTCAACATGCAAGCAACATGATAATCATGAATAAATAAGGAATCAACAGATGGGATGAGAAATTTCGGTAAGATGAACGGGTTTTCGTTAGTAAGGAAAAGCGCATTAGGTGAATGGTTGTGAATTTTCGTGGAAACGGGGTCCGAAAAAAGGCCTCCAGAGTCAGCCGAATTTCTAGAGCACAGTTCGGTATGGATCACAAGATAGAAGTGCGCCGGTGCATAGTTCTCTGTGATTCGCTTGTCGTGCGATGAACTGCGGTGTGGCCTTTGATGTACGCCCTAGCTCCTTGGAACCA